ATCCATTTTTTAGAGACAAAATGGCTGCATGTGAGTCAACAAAGAAAGCCACTTTCTTGTCTTTCCGTTCAGTTAACATCTCAAGGCCTAAGAGAATGGCTTTCACTTCTCCTTCAATGTTTGTGGCTACCTTTCCGACCGGGGCGGCAAGTTGAAACTCCTTTGAATAAACTCCAGGCTCCGGCATGTTTCCGTGCTTCCAGTGCAGAACGATCTGTATATACATCTGTATATAAGCATAAAAATTAAGTGTTTCTTTATGATTTATTAGTTAAAATTTCATATTTTATTGTCCTCTGCTATCTTCCATCGTAGATTGCTTATATTAGTTACTGACTACAAAATATCACCTTTAGCACAAATAGAATAAAATTTATATTAACTTTAATTATTAAATGCAATTAAATTAAATTGATACTAGGTAATTTCTATACTATTCTTCAAATTTTCTCCGAGTTTGGGTCAAAATGAACTTGTAGTTTTCAAACCTCAAAACTTTTGTTTGATCAATTTTCAAGAAAATGAATTTAGTTCAATTCTTTTTTTGTTTGTTCATGAACATATGTAAAGATATAAAAACTTCTCTGAAATAGGTAGGAAAGTCGTGTGAGTCGACACACCATATTTTTATCTCCTGAAAACCATGAAGATGAGTATATTCTCAACACTGTGCAGCGAGGGTATAGGAGAGGAGAAGGAAGAACATGATTCCATCGATACCTCAAGTTAAATAAAATAAAGATCCCCCACCAATCAACATAATATAAATTATAACCATAAGCACGTAATAATTCAATACAAAATTAAATTAATTAACAAATTAATATATTGTAATATATTTGGCCACACATAACCAATAATCCCCACATATATTATTACAGTAAGGCTCGAAATCGCTTTTGTACCAAATATAAGGTCCTGTCATGCTCAAATACCATGAATGGAGTATCGTTGGATTCAGAATTTCACGGGGGGTTAGCAAATCGTATTCTCCACTGTTTTTCTTTCTAAAATAAATAAAGTCGATACAAACATTTTGCTAGGCTTCGATACTGTAACAGTGGTAGGTCTGTAGACCGATACGTGACAAATTGGACCTTGAAGATTTTGATGCGTACAGCAAGACCCGGATAGTTTCTCCGGAACTATCTGATCCTGCGTTTTTAAGCCCAAAAACGTACTATTTTCGAGATAACGCAAGGCATGGGGTTCTCATCCACACAACCTGACGTTAATTTTAGTACTGTCATTGGATACATGTCTCATTTCGTCGACTAGAGTTCTCTATGATCGAGACAGGAGTTTATTTTATTTATTGATGGTGTTTTTGATCGGCAAGCCATATTATCGTTATTTATTCTCCACATCCCAAGATTGAGCCACCAATTTCGAAAGCTTCCTTCTCCTTCAGGCGGGCAAAATAGTCCAATCACCCCGAAAATTCAGGCAAACAAGTTATGAAAAAAAAGAAATTTTATTTGCAAATAACTAAAAAATTACACGGTCATTCCCATGATTATTTAAAACATTACTAAATTGTCTACAAAAGAAAAAAAATCATTGAAATCGGACAATTTTTCGCAAAGATATAGCTTATTGATATTTGTAAATATGTTGGTTCCAAATAAAAATGAAGATTTAAATTAATTTTGTTTCCTTTGTCGATTATATTTATCGTTAAAGTAACAATTGATTCCTTTATCTTTTGATACGTTGAATTATTTTCTTTCTTATTAATTTCCCATTTGATAACAATATGCTGTGCGAATTTTTTGCACAGGCCTACTAATATATATTATTCCTTAACATCAAAATACAGCAATCATTAATTTACAATCCCTATTTTAGCTAACACCACAATGCCGACACTGCAATAACACACTTATAATCAGCCATATTTTACAGGAGTGTCCTTTTTACGTATCGAGTCTAAGTAGATGAGGACTTACACCCCCGATAGCGAACATTTTGAGGGTTGACGAAGACACAGTTTAGTGTTAGATTTCTTGAAATCAAACGACTTGTTTTAAAAAAAAATTATAATCTCTTGAAAATTCAATTTAGAGTTAACAAAATTAATTTACAGGCGTTGATGGCCTGGATATTTTGCGCCTTAAAACCAACAAACAACCCTATATTTTTTATTTTTCCCTATATACAATCCACTATTATAAATCATAAGTAACCACCAATAAAATTCGCATTATTATGGTAATACCTCCGATAAAGAAAGGGGATTCCATACTGTGAACGCACCAGTTATGGACTGGCCCTATGTAGGAGTGCCCATCCTTCCCAAGCCAATGGCGCAAAAACCTAATCCTTCCCCTCCTCTCACCCTTCAATATATTTTATTGCTCATATTTTCATAAAAAAAGAGCAAGCGAAGGTAGAATTATAAAATCGTAGGTTATATACAATTACACTTGCTACGGTATTTTCTATTTTCTACTTGCCTCTTAGTATGAAACTTTTCATTAGGAAAATTCATAACCCTGTCAAGACGTGCCCTCTCAAAAATTCAAAAACTCGTCAAAATAAGCCCTCTCAAAACTTTTGATGGCGCAGTTTGCGCCATGAAACCCCCTTCGGGGCAATCCTGTTCCTGTGAAGAACAGATTGGACTTTAAATGTAAATAATAAGCTTTCCTGTTGATTTAAAGGTTCCAGTTTTTTCTAGATTGAAGAAAAAGCTGGAATCTTTAAATCAACAAGGAAGTTCCCAAAAGAAAATTCTTTTGAGATGTGCCTATATTTGTTGTTTTTATAGAGCTCTTAAGTGTGATCAGTAATTAGTGTGTTTCATAACTTCTTACTAACAGTTTTGCTGAAAGTAAGTTCAACCATGATCCTACTTTATCATTATAGTTAAATAAAGATTATAGAATTTTTCTGAGGTGTGTCCATTACTGGTACCGACCCTCAGTACATTACTAGAACAATTGGATTTTGGAGTGTCCATCACTATTGCAAAAAGGAGTTGTTTTTTTTAAATAGAGATCATACCTGCGTAACTGAATACTTCTTCAATTTTAAAGTATTATATAGAAAAAGGAGACCATGGAGATTCTAAGCGTTAAACGGAGAAGTTTATAACTATAATAATTACCGCGGCGTAAACTAAAAAATACAAAAATTTCCTTAGATATGTCCATCGCTAGTGCGCATCCTAATAAAACGACAGCAATTTAATGGTTTGGAGTAATTTATGCTATAGTGGAAATTGTATAAATATAATCTCTTAAATATTCTCTCAACCATTGTTTTTATCAAAAACATGTACAGAATCATTTTTATAAAGATTTTAAAGTATTTTTGGTTTATTATTTTCAATAATGAAACATTGTGATCGACTGAAAAATTCAAAAACTTAACCCCCTCTCAAAATTTGAGATTTCATGTTTCAGGACGCGTAGAATTCGAAAAACGAATAAAAATGTTTATGTCCGTCCGCCGTCTCCGAAACTACTGGACTGATTTTTTTCAAATTTTGATATATAATCAGAGGTCACCCGAGGATGATCCTCCTTCATCGACATTACTCTCCGCCTTTAACTTTCAAAATGGCGGCCGAAAAACCTGCTTAGCTATAGACTGTAGCTCCTAAACGAATGTACAGATTTCAATGAAACTTCGCTAAAGTCATTTTCTCGATGCCCTTTAAATTTATCTACATAAAATACTTCAACGAAAAGAAGCTGGGAAAAAAGTTATGAGGGATGGTAAAATTAAATTCCGAATAACTCAAAAAGTTTTTACTTTTTTGTTAATATTGTATATGGTTTTTTTTCTAAAGTTTACGAAATTTTCTAAAAAACAAAAAAAAATCCTCAAAATCTGACAATTAGGAGCAAAGATATGGTCTCCGGTTTTTTTTATATGTTCTACTCCAAATGTTATATCCTTGGTTTGGTTTTTAAATTTTGAATGTGTTACTGAAGTAATGCTATTTTTTTTTTTTTTTTTTTTTTTTTTTTTTAGCCTATTACTAATGTTTAAAAAAGAAGTTTAGTCCAATAATTGGAATCACCTTTTGTTTATTTTTCTTTGTAACTTTAGATGTATAATTGTTTGGAAATAATAAACCATTGTGAAATAATTTGGAGCGTTTTAATATTGTACAGTACGATATTTCCGATAAACCTCACATTTTTTAAGATACAAAAAATATTTTTTTTTTGTTTTCTCTTGCTCCCCTTTGAAAATCCGAGGTGGGAAACTTTGATACTTGACACCAGTTATTAAGCAGAAGGTAATGAAAAAAATTTCTCTGTAGTTTCATTTTTTTTTTTTTTTTTTTTATATTTTAGTCAATCCCTCATTTTACTGTACCAGTTTTTTAATCTCCCCATCGTCACCTAAACTCCTGGTTTGTAATTTTAATTCTATACAGAATAGTTATGTTTCGACTGCATTAAAAAAAAAATCGAACCGTCCACAGTAAGCATTAGATTCTTTTCACGTGTTTTTAATTAAACCCTGCTTCGTAGGACTCCGTTCACTTTTATTAAACCTTTTGATCGACTGATTGTCATTGAAACAAATCCTTCACAACATCCGGATCAATTAAATTTACAACAGTCAATACATACCCTCGTGGGTTGTTTGTCCCAACAACGGTACTGGCAGTCGATCCTACCCAGGGGGTTTTCATTCACAAGTTCTTGCCTTAAGTAGGTCAGTCATTGATTGCGGCCTCTCAATGGACCATAAGAGCCGTTGTTACTGTCATTTGTTCAAATACATCTTTTAGTATTTATTAATATTTTATAGTGTATTTTAGCATATAATAATGTATTTTTTACTAATTTATGAACCTAACAAAACAGACGCAATTGAACAATAGCAGTTGGAAACAGAGATAATGAATATAATTAGAAATATTTTATATTTCTAATGCTGAGTATTACGAAACATTTAATATTTAAATAATCTGCTACAATTTAGGATTATTATATACGATTGTTGTATGATTCAACCATTTGTATGTTATTTTTCAGCTATGGCTGAGCCTCGCCGACAAACACCTGTCTTCAAAGAACATATCCTGGCCCCAGGTGGAAAGATCGATATTTTCCGACCGATTAAATCCAGACGATCAGGAGCTGAGCGTTCAAATTGTTAAGGTAAACTATATATCAGTATTCTTTACATAGTCCTTAAATCGATTCTTCTAAATTTTATGTTTACCCTTCCAAAACCGTTATTTTGAAAGAAGCAAAGGCCTTTCAATTAATAGTTATATTTTAACTGTTATTTTCTTTAATGAGGTAATTTTTTAGATATATAAATACTGTACTATGTAAAAAAAAGTAATCTGATATTTTTAGGAGTCTTTCTAAGAGAGTGCCCTTAAAATAATCTAGTTTCTATTTCGCATGGCATCTGTTATTATCAAAAGGTTACGTTTTTCTAAAAAAAAAAATTGTTGGTGTTTAATCAATTAATTAATTTTCATAAAAGTGCGATAAGCAACTAATTTTTTTTTATATAAATTTAAATATCTACATATATTTTGCATATAAATTAATATTTTTTTTACATAATTTTTTGCATAATTCTGTTTTCACCACAATGCGGACATCGTGGGCGGCGTTCGTTCGTTACATCCACTCTCTCAAGTTAAAGCGAAGGTAGCCATACTTTGAAGCCCACTCCCTTTAACAATTAAGTTTATGTTTATTTTAGTAGTGACCAGCACAAAGCATTCAATGTCGGCACAGTGACTATAAAGATCGTTACTCTGGTTACCTTGTACCTTTCAAAGTCCTCGTCCATCAAAGTATAAATTCTTCCACAACAAGCATAATTCGTCAAAAATTATTGTTGACATAATTTATGTTTCCAATTGTAAATTATTATTTTAAGTTCAGTTTTAAATAATTTAATTGTACTCTAGCCTACCGCATACCGTACCCTCTGTATAACGTGCGCGGAAAGGCTCTATGTAAGTATTTTGATTGATAAACTTCTCATAAACGGACAGCACAAGAGAAACTCACCATGGAAAGATTAATGCTCTATATTAGAAATACGGGTATACTGGGAATTCGGTTTGGTAGTTGATATTATAGTATTAATATTTCCTTGTTAGATCTCCTACAAAATTAATTTACAAAATGTCAACCCGCGTCCATTTATGTTAAGTACTCGTAAGAAACTTAATGTTCACCAATTATCACTCGCTTCAAAGTAATAAAAACATAGGTATGATTTATTTTAAAGAAAACATTTTTTTCTGAACCATAAATCTTACCACAGAAATTAATTAACTCTGCTAAACTAGAAATTACTCTGTCTGGAATCGCACAGCAAAAGACATGTGTGGCAAGCACAACACTATTAAAGGCTCGGTCTCGTCCTGGTTTGAAAAATGTGAAAACGCGGCTGAACATAGGTTCATTTTATATAAAGAATTATTATGCGCCTACATTACCTAGGTAATAATAGTGAACTTATTTATTCTCAAGTCTTTGTTAATACAATTATGTAAAAGTCTGAGTAATTTTAAGCTTGAACACCATAGACATACAGACCGTTCATAATATTAGTGCTCACGATCGGGACCATTACAAACATTGGAGAGAGAGATGCTTCCCTACTACTGTCCCAAGAGGAATCGACGCCTATGGGTTTGAGTAGCATTATTGCTGATCCCTTCCTTCATATAGGGTAACTCCTTTGATCACTCAATGTCCCAGTGTCCGCCATAGGTTGTGCTAATTGCTACTTGCCAATTATTTGAGGTCGTCTGGGCAAAGTTAGACCAGCCTGGGCGTTATCGTTTTGGGATTTAATGGTAGCACCTGGCATTAAGTTAGCTTTCCTTTTAAACGGTTGTTTGAATCTTATTGAGAATATATTCCTATTTGATCGTTCTCAGTTTATAATAATTTGAATCAATCTTGGTAATAAAAAAACATCTTGTGCGGTTGATTCTCTTTCAGAAAGCTTCGTAAGAAGCATACATTACTTATTGAATGAACTGATAAACTAACAGTATGAAAAGCAAATTTATGATTTTTTTTTTATGCTACAATTGGAAATATGTTGTGATTTATTATTTAAAATATTCTGTTTTGGTTTAATTACTTTATTGATTTTTCAACGCCTTTCTTTTTAAAATATTCTTAAGGTAACTTACAATTCACATTTTAGTAATTATATGGCATTTTTTGCGTTGATATGATATGAAGAATGAAAATATGTCTCTTAGTTTATTTTCAATACTATACATTCTGGTATAATTTCCTACTCCACAATGCTGTGTATTCGTAATGGGAAAAATTTGTGCTCTGGAGATAAAGGACACCATGTCCATTCTTTTATTAAATAATCTAGTAACTTTGAAACAAATTTTAATAGCTCAAAGTTATGCAACATTAGCTCCTCTCAACAAATACAAAAGTATGTGATTTTTTAAAATTTATTTTTTTATTTATTAAGAAATATAATAATCTGTCACGTGGACAATAATTATAGTGATATATGAACACATTCATACCAATGTGATTTTAAAAACTATTATACCTGTGCATTAAATATCAATACATTTTTTTCTCCTTTAAACGTTTGAAGTATAATTGATATTAATATGAGGTATACCAGTTCGTTCATATCTATCGTTTATACAGATTGATATTGGCTCGAATGTCAACACACATTATTGATGAAGCTACATACTTTGTAGTGACTACGTTAAAGGTTAGGTTTACTTAATAAGTAATTAGTTCGTCCCTCTGGAACATATCCCTTCGATTCAACATTCAGGCAATATAACTCAACTATTCGCGCAAAGTTGATACAGTCCCAATAATTTACTCACTGAGAGGGTTGATGTTGAAAAGAAGGATTATTAGTTTGTATTTCTCTCATTCAGAGTGGATATAAAAACCAGACCTGGATAATCATTTAACCCCTATGGCTGTATTGACAACCAAGAAAATTCAAATATGTGCCAAAAAACCTTTTTTGTGGTCCAGGGGTATATAAAAAATTAAAATAAAAACCTTTCCCCGGTGAGTTTCGTGGGGAAAATACGAGTAAAATTAAACGACGGAAAACTAAGATAAAAATTCGACCTGTAAATATAAAAAAAACAATAAAAAAACAAGCACAACAAAATTTTAATTGTAAATATTGAATTAATCAAAATGAAAAAAACAATAAATAATCCTTTCTTTTTAATATTTATTATAGTGGAAAAAGGATATATAAAAATATTGAAAACAAAACAAAATGAAAGAAGAGTATTAAAATGCTCTGAAATAAAACTAAACATAAATACAATATTCAGTGAAAACAAAAACAAATTAACCATTAGGAATAAAATATAAATAAAATCAATAACAAGATAAAATTAAACGAAGAGAAAAGTTATTAAATTAATTTTTAAAAGTCTTTCAGGGACGGTGGAGAATAAAAACGATCCAAGTTGAGGCTCTGTTTCCAACGAGGTTACCTTTTGAGTATGAACTGATGTCAAAATCAGTCGATGTTGGGGATATCAGTAGATACGATATGCCTATCGATGACTACTGCCGATGTCACAGCTGTTGTTGGAAAATGGCGCAAGGTGAAGTTAAACGTGGAGCTGGTGAGATGGTAGGGGTTGACGTGCAGTTCAACCCTATAGCAACGAAATCTCGCTTCAGACTAACTTCCCGGTAGTCTTATCGCAATATTTTTGGTGTCTTAATACCTAAGACCGTGTATTACTGCCTGGCTGATGCGTATAAATCAGCGATAAACATCGCGAATAATAGCTAATATTTAAATAATACACATTAAGTTAAATTTCTGTGACAATTAACTCTCAGTTTTTTACCCGGCGTTAACATCTTTTTCAAGTGAAAACTTCTTAAGCCACTTTTTGCAATTTTCTGTGGAGAGTGAATTAGATTGATTCGTCAGATTTTAACACTCGGGTAAAATCGGCTATAGTCGACTAATTGAAATGTTTTTACAGATGGTTTAAAATATTTTAAAGAAACTAAAAATCGAACCTGTATACTGTAAGAGAGGGAATTGATCAGCATTTTGTCTTCTTTGTAATAAGCTATTATTCAAAATTGTATCTTAACCCAATACCGTGTTGGAGAGTAAGGGAGGAGAAAAGATAGTGTCCAAAACCAAATGATAATATATAGTACAAATGCTAATATTATTACATCATCGAAATTTTATTTTGACCACATTATTAACAATATATAAAAAATAAGAAGAGAAATAATCAAAATCTATGCAGTCGTTGGATACATCGCAAACTAGTTAATATCACTAATTTAAATAAGTAAATCATAAATCATTAAGGATATATTTAGATTGACCTTGCTTTGATGTCTGTATTTTATGCAATATAATTATGTTAATAACTTAAAAAAATTCTTACTAAACGAAATTAAACTAATTAACCCTAACCACAATACATCTAGAATACATGGATTAGTGAAGTTACATAAAAGTGGCGCTCCACTTAGTCCTATCATCAGTAATATCAATGGAGAAACTGAAAAATTTGGCTAACTATCTCAATTCCACATTCAATAACCTAAAATCAGATAGTAAAAATGATGTAAACAACTCAATTCAGGTGAATCAAATGCTTGAAAGAATAAATACAAAATAAAATAGACAATAGGTATGTATTGTTTCATCTGTTTTGATGTAGAAAATTTATTTACCAATATCAATTGGAAAGATGTAACCAAAATAATTGAAAGATACTTGTATATAATAGAACCGCATACCCAAATTAAAGGGTTTTATGGAAGATATGGATTGAAATATATCAGAAGCTAAAAATCGGACCTGCATACTGTAAGTGAGGGAAATGTTCAGCATTTGACCCGCTTTATAGTTATTATTTATAATTTATATTTCGTATTAATAATCTCGCCTTGTATGTGAAATCAGCACTTCTATCATGTGGTCTAAAGCACATTCCTTAGTTTTTTATGTTTGTTAAAAAGTTCCCATGTCATTCGAGCTGCCCAATTGTCCCTTATATTGTCCCTTTTTTTATCTTTTCAATAGGTTTTTTTTTACATAAACACTACGCTTAGTGTCATGATAACAATAATAAACTATAATTATTATTACTGTTCCATGACAAATCGTAGCATCT